ATCTATCTATCTATCTGACTATTCATAAATATCTGTGTCAGTCTATTCATATCTATCTATCTATCTATCTATCTATCTATCTATCTATCTATCTATCTATCTATCTATCTATCTAAGTCTATTCATTAATAACTCTCTCAATCTGTTCATATTTATCTATCTATCTATCTAGCTATCTATTCATAAATCTATCTATCTATCTATCGCTATCTTTCTAGGGGTGTTTCATTAAGACGGATTATGTATAAATATGTTTCATTAAGACGGATCAAAGTCAGCAGTATATACATCAGTGTTATTTGTGAAAATTCATTTATTTCTCTATTGGATCATGTTATTTAAGTCATGGCAATAAAGTGTGAAAAATAATATCACCCAAATGTCCGCTAAATCTGAAAGGAAAAGAAAAAAATCATTAGACGCTTAATATAATTCACATTTAAAATCAGTCAAAGTTATTGGAAAACACTTTATCTCATTCTTTTAATATCTGTCTCAGTCTATTCATATCTATCTATCTATCTATCTATCTATCTATCTATCTATCTATCCATATATATATATATATATATATATATATATATATATATATATATATCACTATCTATCTATCTATCTATCTATCTATATATATATATACTCAGAGGCCGTTTAATTAATTAAATGTATAAATGAACTTTCACGAACATTTCTATTCAGACAATGATTTCTTAGCAATTTAATGGATATAGCCATTGTCATAGTGACCAGCTGAATTTCATTTCATGCATTAATAGTGGAAAGAAAGACAGTTTATGCAAATTTGAAGGTGTCATGGTTACTAATATTAGACTGGACTATCTGAGCATTTAAAGAATATATAATCTACTCGTATTTCATACCCATTTCAGTCTTTCCACATTACTCAGAGTTCTCCCATAATTACCTATCTATCTATGTTAAACTCTGAGAAAATTTAATTAATTATATGTACAAATGCTCTTCGAAACAAATTTCCAATGAGGCACTCTATTCATAGCTATATATAACGGTTATAGGCATTTAAAGTTGACCATTGGCTGACTTTTTTTTAAGCATTAGTATAGGACAGACGTGAACAGATGTGCGTTGGGGTTTAATGGTTATCGGCTCGAAGTGAGATCTTGGAGTGCCAAGTTCGAATACCAATCAAGTTTGTTAGATTTACTTAAGCACATATACCTTGGGAAAGGTAGGAATTAATGTCGTCTCCCGCCTACAACTGCTATGGGTTGAATAGCAGAGCAGACTAGGTTCTTTAGGCTCGGTTGACTATCAGTCTACCACAGAAAGAAATGGCAATCTACTGCGGGAGAAAAAATCGGCCACTTCAGTCATGATCGCCCAAGCGTGTATCACGCATTACTTTTAACTAATAGGATAAGACAGATAATTTATTTAAGTCTATTTGAAAAATTAGATTAATGGTTGTTGCTGGGTCCCATGTATTAAAAAAAAAAGCTGGATATAGAAGAACGGCCACCATTACCTGTTGTATGAATTCGTGAAATTTGCCCTAGATCTTCTTCTTATATATATATATATATATATATATATATATATTTAAAGAAATATAGTCTTAAGGTGTGCTATATTTATGGAATAAAGTGCTCAATATCAGAGATAGAGCGTGTGTAAATATAAAAGTGAACATAGAAGTCAACACTTAGAGGTGACAGTCTGTTTCATGCGATATGTGGCCTGACGATTGCATATAGCATGAAACAAACTGTCGCCTCTAAATGTTGACTTCTATGTTCACTTTTATATATATATATATATATATATATATATATATGTGTGTGTGTGTATATATAGTTGAATGGATATGAGTTTGTAACACTGGGTTTCACGCTTATCCTCACAAAAGTTATTTCTATCTATCTATCTATCTATCTATCTATCTATCTATCTATCTATCTATCTATCTACGTTGGTCTGAAGATCGCATAAGCGTGAAACCCAGGCCTACAAACTCATATCCATTTGACTAAATATGTTAGCTTTGTCACTGATATTGAGCGCTTTCCAATAAGCACCGCCCATATATAAAATAAATATAGAAATTATATATATATATATATATATATATATATATATATATATATATATATATATATATATATATATAAAAGGTGATTGAAAAGTAACTCCCCAATTTAAAATACTTATAATTTATTTATTAACTATAATTTTATAGGAAATAGATGAGAGGAAAGCGTTTATCATGAAGTTTTATTTAAAATTTGATATGGGCGCCAGATTTCGTTACCCACGAAATAAGACCTTGAGTGTAAACTGTAGCAGTTGGTAAATTTTATTCATTTGCAATTTTCTCGTAAGTGAACGAGGAAATGTGAGGCGAACTGACGGGGCCAAAGGTGCTAAATAAAGTGTGTCTTCCTTTTGCGTGGCGGACGAGCAAGCGGTCCTCCTGTTTAGACCATTGCCTTATTTTTCCTGTCCGCTTCCGTCTAAAAAGTAATTCACCAAGAACATACGGTCTGAATCCAGTCAGCTGACCTTTCTTGTCAAGGCAATAATAGCCAAAACCATCCTAGAGAGGTGTCCTGAGCTTGATATCAGCTGACAATGATATCTCTACCTATCTATCTATCTACAGAAATTTGGAAACGTTAAGCTATTCTGCTTGGCATTCGCGCCGAGAGATCGACTAAGAACATTTCAGTGTGCTTGGGTGTCAATCTGGGGACAGTACATAAGATTCAGGAAGAGTTAGATGAGTCAAATGGTGATTACGAAGATGTTACGAATGATCATTAGTGATGGCGATGTTATGCCTCCATTCATCTTCCCACCGGGCCTCAGGCTCAACACGGAAGCCTAAATTAAGTGCGTTGAGGAGGTAGTGCTGCCCTTGGTCAAGAGGGTAGCTGCTGGAAGATCCTACATCTGGTAACAGGGCACTGTCCCATGCCACACAAACATGAGAACCCAGTCATGGCTGTTTCGGCGACTACATCACCCCTTACAAGCTAACTCCACAGACTGAAACCTCCTTTATTATTGTGTGTTGGGCACATTTAAGCAAGAGACCAACAAACCTCTTTGTAACAACAAAAATGAACTGAAGGCAAGGATTTTGGAGGCATCCACCAACGTAAACAGGGAGAGCGTCCAGAAGAGATGCAGGAAATTAGGAAATCATTTAGAAACCGTGGTTGAAGCCAATGGTTATTTTACTGAATACGTTTACTCTTTAGTAGTTCAGGATATTTTTATGTAATTTTGGTAAATATATCTGTAAAAATGAGATGTCAGTGTCATTTTTGTGTGTGTGTTTGTGTGTGTGTGTGCGTGCGATAATTTATCCATCGCACTATATATATATATATATATATATATGTCTGATGAATTGGATCGTATTTACGATTCCAATGGAATAAATTATGACCATGGAATATTAGTGTTTAAGCCTTTTTATTATATCCTTACTCTGTCCTGGACATTGAGTTCTACCTGGATTCTATCCTCTTGGAATTTTTTTATTCAAAAAATATGTGTATGCACCTATATTTATATATTTTGCATATATATGTGTATATTTACCATCAATATTATATATATATATATAATAATTCATCGAGTCTAGAAGAAACCTCAACAGAATGCAGAAAGCACTGGACGGCCGTTTCGTCCTATATTTGGGACTCATCAACAGTGCGCATCCACTATCGAGAATTGAAACCAGGACACCTACATTGACAAGCAAACTTAGTACCAACTGTACTAACGGGCCTCTGTCACGAAGAGTTAGTGAACTAGGCTCGATATTGCCCCGCTCGTTCACACACACACACACACACACACACACACACACACACACACACACACAAGAAGACTTAAGCTACATCTTTCCAAACATAGCTCAATTAGGTCTCATTTAAATACTCAGGGAGACGTACCAGACTCTATTCATAACATACTTGTTGATAATATAAATATGATAGCATTGTCTACATGTAAAATAATGGAAGCCTTATTAATAAAAACAAAACAACAAAAACACTGAATAATATCAACTATGAACTATGGAAACAATATTTCCAGTTAAGAGTAAATATAATTCTTCCTTCATAATGGGTAAAAGTGTAGCCGAAAGTCCTTTGAAAAATAAAACTTTTGGAGAGTTTTTGTATAATTTATCTACGGAAAAGAAAAAAGTTAGGATCATATTGTTAAACATGTTCTGTAGCCTATATAATTGTTTGCGAATTTTGATTGATCAGGAACACAATCCCTTAACTGACATTTAAGTTCGTAAATAATATTTGTTCTATTTAATTTTGATCTAAGAGGTGAATATATTATTAAAAGATTGGCCATTTTAAATTTTTGGGCAATAAATAGTCTACTTTTTGCTCTTATCTACTGCTGTTGTGCATTTGTTGTAAAGTTCTTATGTCTAGTTTCATCTTGTTCATAATTATCATTCATCATCATCAAAACTGTTTCGATTTGAGGTAACGAATTAGCATGTTCTCTTATCTTCAGTGACATTGTTTACTGATTCGATAATATTTTGCCAGCCTTCTCTGTCCTCTGCTAGTTTGCGGAATCATTGCAGATCTTCCTTGATTGTAAACTTCTCCAAAGAAAAAGTGAGTTATTTCTGCCTTATTCTTTAAATGTATCTGTTCATCATTGTGACTATGGCGGTTCTTGGATGACCTCTGCCACTCTTTTCAAAGCAAAACTCCATGGCTTTGTTACCTGGGCATTCTGAATCTATTTATTCAACTATTTTTTTTTTTAAATATTGATGCTATTGTTTCTGTTTGTATTCTCATCGTTGCTATTAGCTACCTTAGATAGGAAAAGCCTAATATTGAAATCCAACAGTTGATTTGAAAATCAGTTATTGTTAAGCGTTTGTTTAACGTTGTTTAATTCTTTAAAGAAAAGCATACGTAAGAAGGAATTCTCGTGCGCTCTTTTAAGGGTAATGCTCAATAACACCTATATATTAAGATCACCTATATTGTACCTAAGAGGGCAGTTTTTACTAGTTTTTTTTTTATAAACTGAAGTCGTAAATGTATTATTACTAAACTCAACAAGAAGATCTAAGAATGGGAGTTTATTTTTTTTCACTAAGTTCATATGTTAAATTAAGAACGGAATTATAAGATCATATGAGAAATATAAAGAAAAGCTTAATCAATGCACCTTTTCTGTAATATTTAATGAAGCTTGCATGAAAGAAGATAGCGTCAATTAATTGAAATGAAATTATATTTGAATCAGTCTTCTACCCACCTCCTTATATCAATCTGGATCAATAGTCCTCTACCCTGAGTGGCCTTTGGCCCTTCTATTGGGTGAACAAACAGTATAAAAAATTGTAAAATAAATAATATTACAATATAGTAACACACACACGCACACACACACATATGAATACAGTAGCGGCCATAATATAAGGAACGGAAACAACAAAGACATACATCTGTGTATTACTTAAAAAGTAATGCATGATTAGCAATGAAATTTTTACCGAATAAAGATTAGGGTGTAATGCATAAATATTATACAAAGTTACAAAAATTTAAATAATAGTTTTTTTTTTAAATAAAGATTAAATGGAACAAATGAAAATAAGCTACACGACAAAAGTTAAGGAACGTTGTTAATAATTTGCATAAACTTTTAATTTACATTGTTAAAAAAACTCGATGGAGCTTTTCAACAATAAGTAAAAGTTCATTTATCATTAGAACTTTATTTTTAAGCAATATGGAAAATTCTATACGCAAAACGTTGTCTTTTGAAGAAAAAAATACTCATTATCGCTAACTATGAAGAAAAAAGTCATTTTTAGAAATTTCTGTAATTGTTCATAGGTCTAAAAGTGTCGTTCAACGAGTAATTAGCAGGTATAAAACCGATAAAAGGTTAGATGCAAAACCAAAAACCGGCAGACCTCCAAAAACATCGCAAATAGAAAATCGAAGAATTGTTAGAATATCTACAAAAAACCGTTTTGAAACTGCTACATCAATTGCCCGTAAATTTAATGAAGAGACAAATAATAAGATCTCAAAGTAAACGGTTGCTCGCAGGTTAAAAAATGCGGGATTGCATGCCCGTATTCCAGCTTCGAAGACTCTCATTTCAAAGCGAAACCAAAGGGCACGCCTGGAGTATGCGAGAGAACATGTTGTCTTTGTGAATCTCCTATTTTCATGCAGGACAATGCACCTTGCCACAAGGCTCAGGAGGTTATGGCTTTATTTGAAGAAGAAGGAATCGTCCTAATGAAGTGGCCAGCCCAGAGCCTCGACCTGAATCCAATAGAAAATATTTGGAAGATAATTGGAGAAAGGGCTCAGAAAAGAAACCCGAAAAACCAGGATCACCTATGGGAGTTATTGAAAGACGAATGGGAGGGAATTACTGCTGATTTTTGTAAGAAATTAATTAGATCATGTGGTCGTCGATGCATAGAAGTCATTGAAAATAAGGAAATGTTTGCCAAATATTAAATTTTGTTGATATTTTGTTCACAATCAAGTATTAACAAGATCATTCCTTAACTTTTGTCCAGTAGCTTATTTCCTTTGTTCCATTTAATCTATTTAAAAAAAAAAACTATTTGTAATATATATGCATTACACCCTAATCTTTATTCGGTAAAAAATTCATTGCTAATCATGCATTACTTTTTAAGTAATACACATATTTATGTCTTTGTTGTTTGCGTTCCTTATATTATGGCCGCTACTGTATATATAGAAGATGTCACCCCTATTTAAGATAATTTTCTATTTCAGATGGCTGACAAGAAAATAATACTAAGCAGTTACGTGAATCTGTTCTTTTTACGGCAGCGAATGTAGGACAATTTTCTCAAAGATGAAGAAGAGACTCGAGGCGACGGAGATATGGTTCTACAGAAGGATGATGAGGATATCATGGACCGAGCGTGTGAGCAACGATGGGGTCTTAGAGAGGTTGCAAACAAGAAGAAGGCACATACTTAACATCAGAAAGAGGCAGCTGAAATTTCTGGAACACATACTGAGGAAGGAGGGCCCGGAGAATATGATACTCACGAGTCGAATAGGGGGAAAGAGAGACAAAGAAAAGACATACCTGGCGAGCTGTAGCAGGTGGATGACAGAACGTGGTTTGGGGAGGAAGCAGAGGGAAGAAGCTTGCTGAGAACTGCACGGGATAGAAGGATGTGGAGGGCCATGATCGCCTACATTCTGAAGGGCATGGCACATAAAAAAAAAGAAAACACGAAAAGGAACCTAATATATTTTGTGTGTGTGCATATGTGTGTGGGGGGGAAGAGAGAGCATAAAAGTCATCGCTGTATTACGACTGGCAGTTTCACGCCTTAAGCGGACTTACCATAAATCTTCAATACTGACTGTACCACGTAGTGATGACTTCCGCGGTCAAACTGCATCTATTCACCTAGGCTCTATCCCCGACATTGAACTCTCCCGTTGG